TGTGTTTCCTTCAGACTGTGAGTGTAATGGTCACTCCAACCGCTGCAGCTACATCGACTTCATCAACGTGGTCACATGTGTGAGCTGTAAACACAACACGCGGGGGCAGAATTGTCAGTACTGTCGCCTTGGTTACTACCGAAATGCCTCGCTGCCGCTGACTGACGAGAACGTCTGTGTTGGTCTGTAACATGCACACAAACGCAGAGATAGAGCTCAATGTGAAGTTAGAAACCTGTAAAACATCTAAAGGTTGAACCGTAGCTCTGGTCTTGAGCTCTTCTATGACAACCAGGACGAACATGTAAAAATCTCCTCAGATGTCTTCACACAGCTCTGACTTTATAAGATACCAAAGTGTATTCTCATCAAACAGCAGCACAATGTTCCACAGGTCAGAAGTTGTCTTATCACATTAGTTTATGTTGATATCTCACAGTGTGTAACCCATCTGAGCCAGACCTAAAAGGTAGAATGGAGATCATTTATCTTTCAGGAGCAGGACCACACCTCTGTACACGCCCCGTCCAGTTCTCTGTCTATAAATGACCAACCCCACTGCCGCACTGTGGCACTACAAGCTATTCATACGCATTTTTGTCAGTATGTGGGGATCTGCCCAGGAGCCGCTGCCAGTTCCCAAACCACAGCTCAATTCATGCTCACGTCATCCACTGTTATCTACTAAAAACACAATCTGTTACGTCCCGGTCTAGGAATACAGGAGCGCAACATGAGGGTTAAAAGGAAAGTGACCCCGCCTCGCTCCCCAGAGCCATATCCAGAAGCCAGTTTACAGGTTAAGGTGCTTTCATTGCTACTAAAAACTGAAAACTTTAACTCTAGGGTGAACACAGGCCAAAATAACAAACAAAGCAAGCTATTCCAAAAAGGGAGGTGCTACCTAAACCCTGGGAAAAACAAAAACCAAAAACCAACTCCCTGATTTAATAAACAAGAGCAAAAAGTACAGAAAATAATAAGGCAGCTTCAGTACAGTGTCTACAACCGACATAGAAAACTTAATGATTCTCTAAAGTCACACACGGACGTTTATCAAAGATGGTTTGGAAGCCAAGGATGGTCTGCTGCTGGAGAAGGCTTTTTAAAACAGGCACTTGGCACAGGACACTCAGAACAAAATCCAAACACCGTGATCCAAAATATGGGCGGGGCCGTAACACTGTCCAACCTGAGGATGTGGTCCCAGCTAGTGAATAGATAGATAGTCTATTGATCCCACAGGGGAAATTGTCGTGTTACAGCAGCATGACAAAGAAGAAAAATGGTCCACTCCACAATAAACAACAAATAACACAGTTGGAGTGCCACAGGTGAGGGCCTTCTACTATGACACAGCACAGGAATTTATATATTTTTATATTTACAACAGCGACACAAACAAAAGTAAGAATGAAGTCGGAAACAGTAAGAGTCAGACTGACATTGTGCAAACTGCATGAATAAGTCCTGTTTACACTGTACATGTAAGGTGTAACACAGACGTGTTTGGGATGTTGTGTCCTCAGAGTGCGAGTGCCACGCAGACGGCAGCGTGTCTCCTAGATGCTTGGACTCGGGTCTTTGTCAGTGTAAAGACGGAGCCACAGGGAGGCGCTGTGACTCCTGTTTACCTGGATACACCTGGAGAGGAGGCGGGGCCGGCTGCACAGGTACACAGAGGGGCTGAATATGATGTGCCTCATGTTATCGATGAGCTAATTGGTGATCGATGATCTTTCACCATCAGCAAACATGTGCGACAGTGAGCGTTTGGTCTGTCGGAATGGAGGAACCTGCATTGACTTCCTGCGCTGCATCTGTCCTGAAAACTTCACAGGTAAACACAGCTCAGGTGGTGTAGGTGGGTTGGGAGATGCAATGATGTCACAGAACAACTTGATGATGCCACGTGCCCCTTCAGGTTTATTCTGCGAGCAGAGGGTGTGTCTGAAGAAGAATGGCTGCCTGGAGAACGCTGAGGACTCCGCCTCCTCTCTGGCATCACACCTTTACCTGCTGACCTTCGGTCTGATCACCGCCACTTTCTGCTGACCCCGCCCCCAGGCACAATGTCCCATAATGACATCACCTGGGACGATGTGATTGCAACCAAATGTTTTTCACTGAACTTCATGTTTTTTTACGTTGTCGTACAGGATATTACATCACAATCTTATGACATCACATAAGGCCCTGCACACTAAGACGATCATCACATTATAATTTTAGGAGATCAACAACAGGTCACTTTAACCTGACAAATCAGAGACAGCCAAACTCTGCAGGAACAGAGCTGCCTCAACCCTACTCTCCCTCCAGCCCGTCTTCTCCACATCGTCCTCTCCACCCCGTCCTCTGAATAATAAAGGTTTATCTTATCTCCCCCTCCTCCTGTGCAGTTCAAGGACTCTTTAATTTGTATGGATGAAGCTCTGCAAAAACATCGTCACCCATACTGCACTTGGAGCTCTGACTGGTGCATACGTCTGAAGATCAAACTGAGTGAAATCAGCTGATCAATACGTTACGTGTCCTCTCTATTTCATGCAGAAATGTGATGAAGATTATTGACAAAGCCGCTGATCGCTCGCCCAGCTGCAGCATTGATAAATGGTGATTCTTTTTGTGGCAACATTTTAGCTTCATACCTTTTTTAAAAATATATATTTATGTTTTATATTCCCAAAGGTTGATTCTGTTCATCTGTTCATCAGTGGGAGAAACATTTTGTCATCATCCAGGTGACTTCTTCAGTCTCAGCTGACTGCAGTTTTCCCCTAACCTTATAAACAGTACATTTGCATAATGACTGAAACTAAAAAACTAAACTAATACCAAAAATTGGTCGACCCCAAGGATCATGGTGCACGCTGTTAAGTGCAGGAGGATTGGCAGGATTTATAAATCGGGGAAACCAAACAACCTCTGGCTACAACACAGAAGAGCCACCTCGTCAGGCCAGGACTCTGCAGTCTGTTTACACCTACAGGCCAGTGGACACTCTTTCAATGATGAGGATGTAACATCCTGGACAGGGAGGAACGCTGGTTTGAGGGCGGAGTCTTTCCCTTTCATTTACATGAAAAGGGAAAGACCATCTCTGAATCGAGTAGGGGGCCTAAGGGTACATCTGTCATCATCTACAATGCTGTGATTGCAGCCATTGCAGCCAGATTTAAACCCAGTGGGAGTTCTAAATCTGGGACTCCCCACCATTTGACCTTAGAACTGAAGAAGCTTCTCGGATGAGAGGTGAAACGTCTTCAAGCAACTCAAAAAGTCCAGACGCTTTTCTTTCCAAGCTCCTTAGACTACGATGACCTGGATGACTGAGAACCTTCACAGACATACCTGGATGATTGAGCATGCATTAATATGTTTTATATTGTGTTATATTTTATTATTTGTTTTAATACTGACACGTTTAACTATATGTAATCCATTATGGTGAAGCTCAGGGATAGATAAGATAGTAATTACAGGTAGTTTTCTTAAACATGGCCTCTGATTGTGTTCCACCCTGTTAGGGACGTTTACATATAGACCATAAATAGTTAAACATGTAAATATTGATCAATAGTGACTTTAGACAAAGTATGTCCCTTTTGGTAATATAATGTTTTATTCTTGAAACTGTAACAAGTTATTTAATAACATATACCACAGGTCTGCATTATACAAAAACCAGTTTATTTTAACCCATGTTTTCCGACAGCATGGAAAATACTTGAAGTTTTAAAAACATATACATATGTGTGCATTTAATGTTCCTGTCTTCTCAACTTGGCACAAAATTTTTCACAACGCTTATTGGTACTGTTCAGTAATCTTTTTCATTTCATTTCATTTCAAAAAAACATTTTTCCAAACAGGATGGAACATCAGTGTTTTCAATTTTAACATCTGAGTAAATGTAATGGAGACCAGGGGTTCCATTACCTTGGTGGCATTGTTAATAATAAATGGGTGGATTGGGAATTTAAAATAGGGTAATAAAGAAAACACATTCGTTCTTATGGAGTCTTTTATTAGGTTTATTTTGACATACAATTAAATTGACAGCTTGTGAAGGTGAAGAGACAGGGGGACTGGCCTACCTGTGTCAGAGAAGAGCCAAAGTTAGAGCTGTTTACAGTTAATCATATGTCAATAACCTAAATATATGTGAAATGAGAACTTATAAAGGTACTCACCTGTCCTGGTTGCTTCTTGCAGGACGTGGAGCAAAAGAGTGAAAGCGGCTCAATCACCTGTTTAAGAGCTCCTGGAGCAGACCAGTGTGCCAGGTTAGGGAGTGTGGTTAAAGAGGGTTTTAATTTATAAAGTAATGGGTGAAGCTTATGTTATTGGTTTGTTTATAGTACGTGTTAGAAATATGTATATGTTTGTTATGTGCTTTAATGTTATTGTATGTTTGTTTGTGTGGAGGGTTATGTTTTCATGTTGATTAGTTAACCCCATACTTGGGCTATTCCGGATGCTCACCTGAAAAGGTAGAGTATAAAAGGAAGGTATTTTGTTTAGTTGTAGTTAGTGTTTGTGCTCTTACCATCCTCCTTCTTTAATAAAGTGCCAATCCATGGATGTATTTCACTCCAGTCTCGCATCATATTATTGGACAGTGTTATGTGTAGGCTGTGTGCAGACAGGAATAGGACCCAAGGTGCAGACTCCGGAGCCAGATGTGAACTCAAAACAGCTTTAATGTTAAACTCAAATATAACATAACTGGAAAAAAAATCTTTTAAAAAAACTTACACCGGAGGACTGACAGAACACACAGCTAGGTAAACGGTAGATCACGACACAGACACAAAGAAACACAGGGCTTAAATACACAGAGGAAGCAATCAGGGAATGGGTAACAGGAGGGAAACACAGCTGGGGCAAATCAGGCCTGACGAGACAAAGGAAGCAAAACAAGACACATTAACATCAAACATGGACTTTCAAAGTAAAACAGGAAACCCATAACACAGACTGAACAAAAGACACAGACTCACATGCAGTCACTACAACAGAGGGAACAGAGACGTGGGACCAGGGCAGACAGACACCGACCGGACACGGGGATATAGCAACTAAGGATACACAGAGACGCGAACTAGACAAGGGGATACAGCTGACAGGGGAGACAGAGCAACTAGAGAAGACAGAGACATAAACCATAAGACAGAACTCAAAGAAACCAAAGACTAGAAATAATAAATAATAAACTCAAAAACCCTGGGTCAACGACCCAGGCATCCTAACAGACAGAACCTATGACCGCCAGCCAAAACTGACAGTAAACATCTACGGTTCATCTTTGCTTCTTATATATTTGTTCATTAAAAAGTACGTCAGAAACAAGAAATAAAAAATCATTAACAAAAAAAAGAAAACATGCAAGCAGCTGTAAAATACCAGAATGGAACACACAACATCAAACATGAACAAGGACCAGTAACATAATTCAAGGAATACGCCACCTTTTCATGAAAGCACAAGTTGAAAAGTGGAACAAACCATTTAGGAACAGGTCCATACACAGCAAATCCAGTATGTCCAAATTAACACTGTCGGATTTGATTTCAACACGATATGAACACAAATCCCCCAACTCGAGGATCACCACAACATAACCTAACACACCTACACCTTAGTTCACAGATTCACTTTGTCGAGGGTTTATTTCTGGGATTTCACACAACCCAGGATTCAAATCATGAATACATGATGGGCTTGGATTTACAACATTATGAATGAAATGTGCTCTATTTGGAAGCAGCAGGCCCCTCCCCTTTCGACGGGTTGTGTGAGACTTTAAATCATCAAACTGTAAATTATAAATTTAAATTGTTATTGATCCTTTACCCCGAGTCCTAAAGTGTAGATTTATTTTCTTACTCTTCTTATATTTATTGTTTGTTTACTTGCACCGCTGTAACTGCAGCCTCGTCGTCTCGTCTCTCTATATGCTGGACTGTCTGTAGCGGAGATGACAATAAAGTTTACTTTGACTTCAGCAGCGCGCAGGCGCACCGAGGGCTCTCGCGCTCACTTTATAGAATTAAGAAAAAACATCGGTGCAGATTATAAGTTTGTATCATGATATCTGGTGTTTTTGTGTTTGTTGCTTTGATTTTATTTTGCGAGTTGGTTATTAGACGCAGCTCCAGCCGGTCAGAGACTCCCCCGCCGCCCCGCCTTCCCTGTGCCGCAAGCAGCAGGCGCACCTCGCAAACGGAGGGCGCCCTTACTCCCAGCAAATAGATGATAGAAAACCGATCGGTGCCTACGCCATTCCCAATATGCGCTGGCTGATGTCGGGGCAGCATGAGTACGAGCAACTTTATTTTTTCTTTTTTGCCGATGCCCGTGATGCCGCCGCGGGCAACCGCCCATATCAAAAACCGCTACTGCTGACAGCACATCCTCCTGTGACTGTCACGTCACAATCATTTGGCTCACTGGGTAAAAAAAAATGAAATCCATGGTATGTTCTTCTATCTGGCTGCTGTGGAACTCGTTTCCTCCGCCCTGCGACTGCATTTCCTCCATCATCACTGATCCTAGCTGACCTGAAGCAAACATGAAGCTGTAACATAACAAAGGACATCAATGATCACTGGGCTCATACGGCATGCTTCATGCAGCAACTCAACAGGAAGTAGTTTTTATTCACGCAGGCTCCACCTGTGACTTTAACAGCTGCTCATAAAACTAGGAATATATCAAAATGCAGTTAGAAGGAACACTTACACCATCTGCTGCACGCTGTTCATGTCGATGCTGCAGCAGCTCCTTCAGGTGTGTGAGTCCATAAAAACACTGAGGAAGAAGACTTCCATATACTCTGGATTATTGATCAATTAGTGGGAGGAGTCTCTGTGTTCCCGATTGGCTGATTGTGTGTGTCTCTGTGTCTAGGTGAGTCCAGGTAGCTCAGGAGCTGTGATGAAGTATGGCTTCCCCTCACTGGGCAACATCAAGACCAGAGAATCCTACGTCACCTCCTACGACCCCCGCACGCGTACTGCATCCTGGGTAATAGAGCGGCTAAACCCCGCCTCCCTGAGCGGACTGTCAGACAGGAAGTACTGCGAGTTCAAAGAGGATGACAGGTGCGACAGGAACAGGGCAGGTAAAGTTTATGTTCACATCAGTGTTCTCCCACCGGGCTGTCAAACACAGGGCACGTGGGCCAGAACCGGCCCTCATGAGGTGCGAGCTGGACTCGCCTTTCTGCAGCTCCTATTGAGATGCTGTAAAAATCCAACTGTGCGAGCAGAGCTGCAGATAAACACCGTGACCCCAACTTTCCTTGCTTGAAAATTGTGGTCCGTGCATGTTAACGAGGCGACAGGTGAAGGACGTTCTTCTCTACCTGTGAAGTTGTTTGAATTCTTAACGTGTAACATCTGTTTTCATTCATTGGCAGCATTCATGTTTTCCACCGAGCGACCAATGCCGACTACAAGGGGAGCGGGTTCGACAGGGGCCACCTGGCCGCAGCAGCCAACCACAAGTGGAGCCAGAAAGCCATGGACGACACGTTCTACCTGAGCAACGTGGCTCCACAGGTGAGACTTTTTACCTGGACAGGCTCATCCAGAGTATTGATTACCTGATTGATTCTATGGATCTCTGGTGTTTGTGAGCAGAACCCTCACCTGAACCAGAACACCTGGAACAACCTGGAGAAACTCTGCC